GCGCCGCCCGACCCACCCACACACACACACACACACACACACACACACACACGCTGGGGGAGGAGGGCCTTCTGCGGGCGCGGCAGAAAAAAATAGGGAGGGGCTCGCGCAGGGCTGCGGCCGCCAACAGGACGGCAGGCACGGCGCTGCGTGTTGCGGGCGTCCCCGGCGTTGCGTCCCGGGGAGGGGCTTAGCGATGTGGGTGCCGCAGGAGCCTTCAGGCCGAGAGGGTGGACGGACGCAACGTGCGGGGAGCTGCGCGGGAGCGGCGGCCGAAGACGCTCTGCTCTTGGGCGCCGCCTTTTTTTGTTGTTTTGTGGGTTCCCGGCGGGGGAGGAGTTTGTTTGCGCTGCGGTTCGCAGCGGCGGATGCGCATCGCAACACTACCGCCGGCACAGCGCAGCAGCGGCCCGGTGAGTGGAGGACGAGGTGTATATTTTAAGCGGCTGGGAAAACTGTTGCCGATGGGTGTTGGTGGGGGGTGTTGTTTGCGTGCAGCGTGCAGGGAGAACACTCCAACACGCACGCGGCGCGGAGGTGCTGCAATTCCGTGGATGTGGGCGGCGGCGTTGGGGAAGTGAGCAGCGGAGTGCAGCAGCGGACTGCGTTTATACGGAAGTGCTGGAAGGGGCTATTTTTTAAAAAATATATATTTGTGTGTTTATTTGCCTGCGGGCACGAGGCACAGCCGGCGGGCTGCGCTGCTGCGGGGAGGAGGAGGCGCCGTGCCCCGTGACCTTGCGGCAGCACTGTTTTTTAGGTTCACGTTGTGTGTTTCTCCCAAATGCCGTGGCACCGCCAAAGACGTCTGCGTGGGGCGGGGGCGGAATGAATTTCTTTTCGTGTGGCTGCGGGACGCAGCTGCGTGAACTTGGCGGGCCGCCGCCTTTTTCTTCCTTCCCTCTCCCTGCCCTCACTCTCTGCGCCGCACCCCACCGCGCTCCCCATTTCTCTCTCTGTTTCTTCTTCGCCGCTGCCCCGCAGCCCACTGGCTCCGCTGCGACGCTACTGCCACCACCACCGCCGCTGTTTTTACTGATGGCGCTGACGGTGCGGCGCCGTGCGGTGTGCGCCCTGGCGCTCCTCGCGCTGCTCTGCGCCTGCGGCTGCGCCTCCGCGTGCGTCGCGGCGGCCGAGAAGGAGGTGGATGTGCCGGTGGATTTCTCGTGTGCGGACGCCGCCGACACGTGAATTTGGCGTGTCCCCGGCGAGAGTGCCTGGCAGAAATGCGCATTCAGTTTGGAAGCGTCTTTCAGGAGGAGTGGGGCCATTTACAACGATAGTGACTCCCTCTGCGCCTGGGCCGGGACTCTGTACGGCTCCGCCGCGTCGCCCAGCGGTCGCTGCTCTTCAGCCGTGGCGCAAGAGGTGCTTGCCTCCACGTTGGTGTGCAAGACGAAGGAGGGCAGTGGGGTGCGCAGGCGGTGGCTCAAAGCAAATAACGGGGCTTTGGGCGTGTCTGCCACTGTTTCGAGCAGCTACTTACCTGGCGCGCTGACGCAGTGCGAGGTGTCAACGCCCAGGGGAGCCGCGGGAGTCGTGCACACGGATGGGCCCGAAGGGGGCGCGAAGGGATTCGCTGCGGGGGGCAAACTGGGGACGAAGGCAGAAGGCCCGAAGGGCGCAGAGTTGCAGGGCGAGACCGCGGAAGCGAGGACCTCGCAGCTGGGGTGAGTGCAAGTGGGGCGGAGGAGAGGGAGGGCGAAGCAGCGCCCCAAAGCCGTGGTGGGGAGCAGCCGCTGCAGGAGGGAGACCGAGGCGCCGCGGCACCCGATCAGCCGCGTGAGGCCGAAGGGTCGCAAGCGTCCGCAGCTTAGCAGGGCCGCTCCGACGCGTCCAGCCGCACCGCTTCCGCCGGCGGGGCTGGCGGGGCCCCAAATGCAGCCAGCGCCACTGGGGGCAGGATTCCGACACACGCGGACAGAGCAGTGCCTCCGTCGGTTCGTTTGTGCTTGCGACGTTGCTACGGCCGCTCGCGGCCGCCGTGGCCTTCGCCGCTTGCTGATTCCGGGGGCTACCGCACACCCGCACGCCTCCTCGCAGGGACGACGCATACCATGCGTGAGTGCCTTCTTTTTTCGTGGGAGCCCATGTGGGCCAAACGTCCCTCTCCCGTGCTTGAAGGGGTGTTTTTGATTTTCGCTTTTCTCT